AAATAAAAAAGAGTGACTTGCAGAGAAGAAAAGGAAAGGGGAGAAAAGAAGGAGGAGGAGGAGCGTTGGTAATAATACAATAAATCTCATACAGCTGCTGATTGAATACAGGTTCATTCATGAATTGCGAATCAAGAGATTCAGAAACTGTATGCATGGTATTGTTTTAATAAGTTATTGTTGAATGTTCAAAAGACCAAATGTGTTATTTTTCGCTCCAAGGGTAAAAAGCTTCCAGATGGCATTACTTTTCTTAATGTTGGAGGCCATGATGTTGCGCTTAGTGAAAATGTTCAGTTCTTAGGGTTAACCATGGATGAGCATTTATCTTGGAGAAATCATTTAGATGCTGTATGCACAAAGTTGTCCCGTAGTGTAGGTGTCATTTTTAGATTAAAATTTATTTTACCTGAAAGAGTGCTGATAACATTATATAATAGTATTATTCTTCCTTATTTGACATATTGTAATGTTGCTTGGGGAAACACTTTTAAGTCATATCTTGATAAGTTGAGAGTATGGCAGAAGAAGGCAATACGGCTTATTACTAATTCTTATTATAGACATCCAAGTTCTCCATTGTTCCTTCGACTAAGAATGTTACCACTAGGTGGACTTGTGTCGTTCAATTGCATATTGTTTATGTTTAATCTTAAGTCTATGCCTCATGAATGTACGTTAAAAGATTTATTCCGTCAGAACTCGCAAATTCATAATTATAACACACGTCAAAGGTGTCTTATTCGACAGCCTTTTGCAAGAACAAATGTCACTCTGACCTCTTTCCATATCTCTTGCATTAGAGAATGGAACAGTCTGCCTGATGATATAAAAAATAGTACAACTCTTTCTAGGTTTACAAGTTTATCTAAAACGTACCTGCTTAAAAGACTGACATATTTTTTATTTGCATCTTAGTAATTTCTTATTCTAAAATGCTTTTTGACCACTAAGGACCTACTCGTCAGTGTGTTTGCTGTGTATGGGCGTGTGTGTGTGTGTGTGTGAGAGAGTATTTGTATGTTCTATATTCTGTAGCTTAGTATTTTCATCCATTATATAATCATACGTAACATTCTTTTTACTGTAAATGTATGTATTTTGTTGACTACAGGGCCCCGCTCACAAGCTTAGCTTCTAAAGGGGTCCTAAAACCATTCAGTTTATGATGTAATCAAGTTAGAATATGTTGATTGATGTACTATTACCAGTCTCTTTTTTATGTAACAGATTATATCATGCTTTGTATGGTTTTGAATAAAATGAACTGAACTGAACTGAACTGAGTCTCGGCCCCCTGGACCTCACGCCAATTAGTGTCCTGCCAGTGTCACAAAGGTATCAAAATATGTGCATCTGACCGTAATTTAATGTCTAAAACCCCTAAGTTTCCGGGGCTCTACCCCCTCGACCCCACCAGGGGCCCTAAGGCGGGCCCATGCATGCTTGTCTGACCGTAATCTATTGCCTAACACCCCTGAGTCTCCGGGGGCTCTGCCCCTGAACCCCACGCCTATTCGTGACCTGTCAGTGTCACAAATAAGGTATAAGATTATGCTCATCTGACGATAAATTGATGTATAAACCCTTGAGCTTCTGAAGGCTCCGCCGCCAGGACCCAACACCAATTTGTGTCCTGCCAATGTAACAAATAAGGTACAAAAATATGCCCATCTGACCGTAATTTATTGCCCAAAACCCCTAGGCTTCCGGGGCTCCGCCCCCTGGACCCCAACCCAATTCATGGCCTTCCAGTGTCACAAATAAGGTAATAAATTATGCTCATCTGACGATAAATTGATGTATAAACCTCTGAGCTTCTGAGGGCACCGTCCCCCTGGACCCAACACTAATATGTGTCCTGCCAGTGTCACAAATAAGGTATCAAAATATGCTCATCTGACAGTAATTTGTTATCCCAAAGCCCTGAGCTTCCGAGGGCTCCGCCCCCTGGACCCTACGCCAATTCGTGACCTGCCAGTGTCACAAATAAGGTATAAAATATGCTCATCTGACGATAATAAAACCCCTGGACCCAACACCAATTTGTGTCTTGTCAGTGTCACAAATAAGGTACAAAAATATACTCATCTGACCGTTATTTATTGCCCAAAACCCCTTATACCACAAATAAGGTATAAGATTATGCTCATCTGACGATAAATTGATGTATAAACCCTTGAGCTTCTGAAGGCTCCGCCGCCAGGACCCAACACCAATTTGTGTCCTGCCAATGTAACAAATAAGGTACAAAAATATGCCCATCTGACCGTAATTTATTGCCCAAAACCCCTAGGCTTCCGGGGCTCCGCCCCCTGGACCCCAACCCAATTCATGGCCTTCCAGTGTCACAAATAAGGTAATAAATTATGCTCATCTGACGATAAATTGATGTATAAACCTCTGAGCTTCTGAGGGCACTGTCCCCCTGGACCCAACACTAATATGTGTCCTGCCAGTGTCACAAATAAGGTATCAAAATATGCTCATCTGACAGTAATTTGTTATCCCAAACCCCTGAGCTTCCGAGGGCTCCGCCTCCTGGACCCTACGCCAATTCGTGACCTGCCAGTGTCACAAATAAGGTATAAAATATGCTCATCTGACGATAATAAAACCCCTGGACCCAACACCAATTTGTGTCTTGTCAGTGTCACAAATAAGGTACAAAAATATACTCATCTGACCGTTATTTATTGCCCAAAACCCCTTATACCACAAATAAGGTATAAGATTATGCTCATCTGACGATAAATTGATGTATAAACCCTTGAGCTTCTGAAGGCTCCGCCGCCAGGACCCAACACCAATTTGTGTCCTGCCAATGTAACAAATAAGGTACAAAAATATGCCCATCCGACCGTAATTTATTGCCCAAAACCCCTAGGCTTCCGGGGCTCCGCCCCCTGGACCCAAACCCAATTCATGGCCTTCCAGTGTCACAAATAAGGTAATAAATTATGCTCATCTTACGATAAATTGATTTATAAACCTCTGAGCTTCTGAGGGCACCGTCCCCCTGGACCCAACACTAATATGTGTCCTGCCAGTGTCACAAATAAGGTATCAAAATATGCTCATCTGACAGTAATTTGTTATCCCAAACACCTGAGCTTCCGAGGGCTCCGTCCCCTGGACCCTACGCCAATTCGTGACCTGCCAGTGTCACAAATAAGGTATAAAATATGCTCATCTGACGATAATAAAACCCCTGGACCCAACACCAATTTGTGTCTTGTCAGTGTCACAAATAAGGTACAAAAATATACTCATCTGACCGTTATTTATTGCCCAAAAACACTGAGCTTACGGGGGCTCCACCCCTTGGACCCCACGCCAATTCGTGACCTGCCAGTGTCACAAATAAGGTATAAAAGTATGCTCATCCGACGATAATTTGATTTATAAACCCTTGAGCTTCTGAGGTCTCCGCCCCCCTGGGAAAAAAACCCGTTAATTTTACCTTTTTTGGAGATGCCCCCCCTGGCGCTAAAGGAGGAGGGGGGGGGGGGGGGGTGCGATTTTTCAAATTTTCGAGGGCCAAAAAAAGAGCTCACTACCATGATGTAATTAAGAAAAGGGAAGGACGAAAACGAAAAATGCATATACAGTGTAGGGCTTTATCAACATAGGGGCTCACAATTTGGCTATATTTTTTTTTTCTCCTTTAAATATTGTCATACTATACATCAATGTAAAGCTCTTGATGAGAGAAATTCAATGGTGAAATGATGATTGAAATAGGATATTGCATTATTATTAAAGTTATGGCTTGTCAAAGTACTCATCTCTTAATTGCAAATCTTACGCCCCACTTCTTGGATGATCAGTAACTATGATCTGCTCGTTACCTTTAATATTTATCATCAGGCTATTAAAAGTATACTTCTTCAAACAAAATACAGCTTTTGATACGAGGAATGCAGTGATGAAGGTATCGCAGTAGGAAGTAGAGGCTAGAGTCGGTCGGTCACAACGAATCCCGACCGTCGCCATCGGGTCCCGGTTTAGCTTTTTGGAAGCCGATGCTCCGATAAAAATAATGAAATATATAAGATATTGCAGTATTGCACACCACAAAAATTAATCCACCTTAAAACTCTTAAGTATTTATTTTTTACCAATATGTTTTTCATACTCTAGCTCATCCTGAATCAATCCGAACTGGCAATATAAATATGGGTTGCAAAGCAGTTCACTGTTCGCGGCATGCATGGGGTTGTTACCAGCTGCGCAGCTAGCAAGCAAGCTAGCTACTGGTCGGGTCTCGACAGGATAAATAAATTAGGTTTAAAAAACATTAATGTTGGAATTATAAAACGGCTTTCTAAAAAATTCTTCTTTACAACATACCGATCGAATATATTTTGAACACAAAATAAATATTTCCCTCCTATTTTAAATACTGCATGCTTTTTTAATAGCTGATAATTACTTAATAATCATAACAAGTTTCGATACTGATAGCTGTTGCAAGGCAAGTTCGGACTAGTCACGGAAGGAATGTGCAATACACTTCATTAGCTGTAATGCGTCACTGTTACCGTCGCCGTCACTCACTTTCCTTAGTCCAGACTGCTGCTTCTATCTTATGCATGCTCCACCGACATCTCTGCATACGATGCAGTACATGATGACCCTTATTTCGCGCTGTGAAAGAAACCCGGGCGCCCCGATTGACAACTACCGAAACAATTCAATAAAATCATTGTTATCTGCCCAATTATTGTATTTCTCGAATATGAACCCTGCGAGGCACAGCTTCTTGACTGGTCCCAGCAATTCTTAATAAGAGCGGGTTTTAGGAGGCGGGGGCAACAAAATGTATGGCGTCGAAAACTCCCCACATTGTTCACTATTATTAGATAGATATATAGAGAGAATTGAAACTCTCTAAAGGATCTTTATTTCATTTGCTTTATGTACGTAATGTAGATATTTCTGAATAATATTTTCAGGCATTGTGTGCCCACGATTTACTGTCGAGTGAGAAGGACATATTACACCATGGGTGGATTTTGCCTTCTCTACCTGCTCCTGATCCTCTTGATGAGATCTGGTGACGTTGAAACCAATCCAGGTCCTAACACTGCAGAAAGGTATGCATATACTGGCTTACTTCGAGTCATTGGGTCATCGCGTCCGGTCGGGTGGTTGCGTTACACGACCTTGCATGAAACAAAAGATCATGCGAAGATGCACGTTCAGGATGCGATCTTTAGTAGATTTACTGAAAGGTTTTCACAAAGTGTCAGGTAATTTGGACCAGACCATTTGAAGATGAGAAGGATTTATTTCACACACATATCCCCTGACATTTCATGAATAAAGGGCATGTTAATTTTCACAAAGGGCCGGGTAACGCTACAACCTGACCCGACATGATGACCCGATGATTCCAACACCAACATAAACAGAATGAAAAGGCTCACAAATTATTTACACCTTTCCCTGAACTCGACCTTTTCTTTGTATGTGACACTTTAAGGTATCATGTGAATACAAAATATGCATATAGACTATGCAATGATGCAGATAATTATCATGAAGATGAAGGTAATAATAATAATAATAATAAAAATAATAACAAATAGTAGTAGTAGTAGTACTAATAGTAGTAATAGTAGTAATACTAGTACTAGTAGTAGTAGTAGTAGTAGTAGTAGAAGAAGTTGTAGTATATTAGTAGAAGTAATAATAGTAAAAGTAATGATAATATGTACAGTTAAACCTGTCTATAGCGACCGCCTAAGGGAAACACACACAATGGTCGTTGTAGATAGGTTGGCGTTGGTCGCAATTTTAAGCCGATCGATAAATCTAACAATGCAAGTTTTTTTTCCGGTGCTTAAAAATTAAATAAAAAAAGAGTGGTACGGTTTTTAGTCAAAATAAAAATACTAAATGATTTAACATATTTTCATTTCTTTGACATTGTCCAGTATATCAAACTATATTTGAAATAAATGCAATGAACGAGCCTGAATAATTAATTGACAGACAGCACACCGCTCACTCGCCTCTCACAGGCCAGTGCGAAAACTAGTGAGGCATAGATCGCGAAGTTCATGAGAATGCCGCTGTATTGCTGTGTATTCAATAGGCGATTATCATTATTATTATTAGAACTAGTAGTAATCTTTTTCTTATTGATATTATCATTACTGTCTAACCATTATTGTATGTACTGCCAGATTCTGCTTTAGGCAGAATGATTACCTTTGCCAGAACAATACCGCCCTCACCTGCAATTTGGGGCAGTATGTTTCAAATGTTAATATCACAGGCAATACATTCTGATATCCCCAGCTTGTTAAATTGCACGCTCGAGCACGTAATGCAAATTGTTGAGTGTCACATAATAGCTTCTCAGCCAATAGGATACTCTCTAACTAATATCCTATCGTACCTGTTTGATTTATTATTCATTTTACAGTACTGTCAGTGAAATGGAGTTCCTGAAGCTGGCCCAGAATATCCCTCCATCTTACTACGAGGCTGTAGGGATATCTCTAGGGATCCCCTATGCTCAGCTACAGGCAATTCTAAGTGAGAAGTTGAAGAACTATACCAATGCATTACTGGATGTCTTTATGAAATGGAATGTCAAGCAGCAACCTCCACACTCAAACAAAAGACAGCTTTTGGCAGACAAACTACGAGAGATTGACTTGGGTAGCCTATCAGACGGATTACTCAAGGGACCTCCAATTCCGAACAGCACAGGTAAACAGAAACTAATTCTTGCTACACCAGAAGATATAGAAAACCATTCATAAAAGCGAAGTCAGTTTTTTACCATTTAGATAGGGAGTGTTCTGTGTTCTATACATTTGCCACAGTTTACAGGAGTTTCCAATTTTATCAGGCCCTATGCATGTTTTTATAATTTCTTTATTTTCAAGTTAGTCATGAATTTCAAATTTGGTGTTGGTATGCATCCCAATATTAAGAGAAACTAATTATATTTTGGGTTAAGAAGGTCAAGGTCAGCAACCTAAAACAATTATCACCACATCAATAACTAGCTATTTTAACTGAAATTAATGTTTAAAAAAAAGCTACATATGGTTTGATCCATCATAGGGAGAGAAGTGATCAGGTCAACATGTGTATATTCTCATTGTGATATTTAAAGATTGATTTAAGCCCCGATCTTAACTGAATTTAGGCAGAGGCATACTGAAGATGCATTTATATTTGTCTTTTTTCCCTTCAAAATAAGATGTGTGCTAATTGTCAGGGCAACTCTGCATTGCTGAAAAGTCCTAGGAAAAATTGTTTCAGTGATATTCATCTACAAGTACATGTCTACACTAATTACTCAGATTATAAATGCCTTTAAATTGATTGAAGTCATATAAATTCAGACAAACATGTAGGATTCTTTTAACATGCACCTAGTCTTACATTGTAGGTCATACTATTGTACCTTGTAAAGATCAAATCATGTAAATATGGATTATCTATGTATTTTTAGGAGAGCCATCAAGACTGCATGAATCACAGACCAATCCTCCTTCAGCTGAATCTCAGACCAAACCACTTTCTCCTGAACTGGTTGAGCGGTGTGCAAATGATTTCAAGTTCAAGTACAGGTCAACTCTCTGTAAGATCAGAACTGATCCTCTCAATCCTGCCTCCACTGTGCCGTTTGACGACATTTATACTAATCTCTTCTTACAAAAAGAACATGGGACAGAGAAGCGAATGCTAGATTACAATGATATCCTTGATCTCAAAGTGAATGGAGAGTTCCCCAAGCGGATCATGGTTCAGGGAGAGGCAGGGGCTGGAAAAACTACATTTTGTGCTAAGATTGCCTGGGACTGGGTTGAAGGGAGGCATTTCAGTCACTTTGTGTGGGTCTTGATTGTTCCTCTACGTGAATTTAAGCAACACACTATTGGCGAGATTGCAAAGTCCTATCTAGCCAAAAGCAATCCAGCAACAGTTTCTCAGATTTCTGAGTATATCCGGTCAAATCCTGACAAGGTATTCATCGCGTTCGATGGGCTAGACGAAGTCAGTAGCAAAATCATGAAGACTGAATCTTGTGAATCACAGCCTACTGATCAAATACAACTTCAGCCATCACAGCCAAGTGTCACCTCCTCAGAGGCATGTGGAAGCTCATCTGAGGATGATGATATTGGACTTGTAGATATTCTTTGTTCAGATCAACTTGCCTCTTGCCCAGTTTTGGTGACCACTCGCCCATGGAAAGCAGTAGAGATTAGATCAGATGGTGATCTAATGAAGCTCTACACATTCATTCATGTTGAGGGTTTCAGAATAGAGGATTTGTCAGTTTACATTCACAAATACTTTCCAAAGAATGACAATAAAGCAAATCGGCTTATCCAGTTCACCCTTGAGAATAATGTCATATCTGAATACATGGCCCACTATCCTATATATGTAGCCATGTTGTGTCTTATGTGGAAACAACGTGACAAGCAAAAACTAAAGGAAATGAAATCAATGAAAACTTTTTCACAGATATTCAAAGAATTGATTGCCTTTCTAAAAGAACACTATGCTCAGAAAGAGGTGAAGAAAGTAGGCAGCCCTTCACTTATTGCCTTTTTGAACAAAATTGATGAGCTCCTTGGACCGATTGCCAAAGAGGCCCTCAATGGTCTGCTAGAAAATACCTTGGTTTTTGATGAAGATGATTTCAAAATATGCCCAGAATCCAAGGACACTGCCTGTAGGGTCGGGATTTTGTCTCAGGAGGACAGAATTCCCGCTGACACAGATACACATGAGAGGAATTCTCATGTGCAATTGCCAGTCTTCTTCCCTCACAAACTGTTTCAAGAGTACATGGCTGGAGTCCATCTTGCTTCACTGTATGAATCAGATCGTAATGAATTCAACAGGCTGATTGAGCAAGTAGTGCTGCCAAGGAAGGAGGAGTTTAGGTATCTCTTGTACTTCACTGTGTCACAGAACAAAAGTATTGCAACCAATGTAATGAAGTCTATGCTTCAGGTAGTATACAGGAATTGTTTGAACATAAATAAACATTTACCCTTCATTGTTGATGTAGCCTTTGAGAGTCAGGACCCAGATGTAGCAGCCTTGGTGAAGGACAGGTTGTCATCACTGGCAATTATGCTAACCCTATCCGAAGGCAAACCAGCACACACTGTAGCAGCTTATGCTTTCATTGGACCACATTTGGTAAGTTTGATCATAGTTCGGTAAACAAAATTTGTTCATCCATTTTTGTTCAATTTTTTGCAATTTTCTTACAGTACAAGCTGTAAAGAGGTTTGAACAGTAATAATTTGAATGCATTGATGCCTGTATTTCTATTTCTTAGGGGCATATAAATAAAGCAATTAGATGATCCTACAGTATGTACACAACGTGTAACAAGGCACACGTCCTTGAGCACATATGGTTGTCCATAACCTTCTGCCAAGATATAAAATCGTGCCTTAAAAGCCCTGTTTGAAAAAGTTTAAAGGCCGTCTGTACTAGTTTGGCCAGGAGGGATTAGACCACACAGCTTGGTCACTGACAGGTGGCTATCTCATCAACTCAGCTCTCAATTAATATAAGAAAAAGAGGATCATGGCCAGGGAACCAACGGGCACTGATTAGGCATTGTTTTCTATATAGAGCGAGCATGTAGCTACAAGTACCGGTAGTACAGTGGGGCTTTAAAATTCTGGGTTTAGCCACCGAAGCCAGTTTAGCCAGTCCGAAAATGATGTTAAAATAGCAAGTACGTGTTACAAATAATTGGGCAGAAACCCTGCATAATCCGAATTTTTCTGAGTGAACATACATGTATACTGTGTATGATATCATTTAAAGGGGCATTTCATTTTGACCCCATTGCATCCATGCTTATGTAATACAGCGTACAAGCATGTCACGCATTGCAATGTGATGCATATCAAATATAACATTTTTTTATAATAACCTTGTGATGATCGACGTCATGAAATTTTACCAAACTTGGCAGGCAGTTTTCAAGTAGGTTGATATGCATTTCTGCTAAGTTTTATAGACCTAGGTATAAAGTTTGTAAATTAAGCACATGTTGAAGTTATTTAGGAATTATTATTTTTTGCTTAAAGGGGTTTATCTTGAAGTATCTAAATCCAAAAAAGGGTACTGATTAAGCCAGGCATGATGGAGCTATGGCCCCATAAACACATCCATTTTCAGAACTTTAGAGGATGCAATTCATGTCATGTGTGACCATTGATGTGCGAAATTCAGCAGAAACATGTGCAGTGCAAAACTTAAGTTGCTGTACACATTTTAGACGGAAAGAAATTGATATGACAAAGTTATGGTAATATTTTACTTAAATTTAGAATATTAAGATGGCTTTTTGAAGGGCCATTTGTATGTCAAAGATGAAGAGCAACTCTTGCACTATCTAGAAATAGCTAGGCTGAAAGAAAGGCATAAAAACAGACCTGAAACAGTCTAAATGGCGCCTAGACGATCAGTTCAGTGCACAAGATGAGATGGTAAAGATTATGCATACAAAATCTGGAAGGAATTGGGGTAGAGAAAGGGACCCTTTTCGGAATAACAAGCACTGTGTGCAAAACGAATGTGATTTGGGTGGAAGAGGAATAAGAAAAAGAATTCAGAACGCCCAAATCTATAAGGCATTGATGAGGACCTCAGTGCTTTTTAGTGGACCCCTCTGTTTCCAACATGTATTTCTTACTTTTGTTTTAAATGCTTATAATTGATTTGTAATGTTTTGTTGGAACTTGGAAACATGAATAAATTGAAATTGAAATTGAATTGAATTGAATTACATTGAGGCAATGTACTGGCACGTGCATATAGATACCTTTTAGAAGATATGAAATTTGGGGACAGGGAACTATCAATAGTTTGCACATTTTCATCCCTGCCAAATAATATCTCTTGCCTAAGTGAAATCCCAATTCTTGGTTTATAAATGTTTTTACATCTTTTCTCCTTAGCGAGCCTAGATTTTTAGTTTAGTGATTGTATTCCTATTAACACTGATAAATGATTAAGGTATAAGGCACCAGATGGTGTGAACTCAAATAATCTCCTTTGAAACCTATTCTTACACTTATACTCTCTATTTATGTAGTTTAAGGATTCTCTGTTTAGTACATGGTAAGATGAGATATTCCTACAGTCCTAAAAATAGGAATTTGATATGAAATTTCACTCCAATAGCCTATACCCTTATTTATTTCCTTTTCCCTCTAGTCTTACTCTCTTTTGTTCTAGCAGCACATCTAGGGCAACCGCTCCTGCAGGTTACACAAGTATGCCTAACTTCCAAGTGACAATGTATGTTCTGCATCCCATCAGTAATCACTTTGTCATTTTATCCAGGGTGATCTCAGTGTCTTTAGATGTGGTGGACCTATGTCACCTGATGTGGCAGAGATAATATGCTCCGTACCATCCTTGAAGAAAGCTACTCTATATTATGCATTCCATCCTCGATTTTTTGAAACACTTGCAAGGAAAGGAAGGAAATCAAAGGTGAGCGATTCATTCACAATTGTGATGTATGTGTGAGTGTTTGATATAATTTGTTTTCCATTATCATCTCTACCCTTTGTATGCCTCCGCAACGAAGTAGCTGAAGGCATTATGTTTTCGGGTTGTCCGTCCGTCCGTCCCGTTCTCGTGATCGCGTTATCTCAAGAACAGATTGATGGATTCCCGTCAAACTTAGGTCATGTATGTATCTGACAGAGCCCATGAACTGATTAGATTTTGGGGTCATGAGGTTAAAGGTCATGGGGCTCTTTATTTATGCAAAATAGTTTGTGATTGCATTATCATTAGAACAGATAGACAGATTATCATCAAACTCAAGACATGTATGTATCTTGCAGAGCCAATGAGCTGCTTAGATATTAGGGGGTCATGAGGTCAAAGGTCATGGGGCTCATGTATGTGAACGTATTGTCATTAGAACCGATGGATGGATTACTATGAGACTCAGGACATTTATGTATCTTTCAAAGACAATGAACTGATTAGATTTTAGGGTCCTGATGTCAAAGATCAAATGGTTATACATGTATATGAAAAATAGCTTGTAATCAATATTCTGAGAACCTGATATTGGATTTTAAAAATTGCTTGTTTTGGTTTGTAAAGTCGCTCTATGGCGGAGGCATCATTTTTTTACTGTGCTTAGTTGAAGATCCATCTAGGCTTATCTACAATTTACTTCTTTAATTCCTTTAAATGTCTCATAAATGCTGGTTCTTTTGACAGAAGAATATATCAATGGTCTTCACTAAGGTGGCAGCAGTGTTAACAAAAACTTTTAAGTGTGAATACTAACTGTGGAAAACCAGAAAGATTACAACATACTTAAGGGGGAAGTCCACCCTGATATTAAGTTGGTTTTAATAAAAGCAGAAAAATGAGAGAAATAACTTCTTGATGATGTCATCAGTGGAATCAGTGATCGGTGTCATTTGCAACACTGATGTATCTTGTGAGCTCCTCTCCAATTTGCTCTGTACAGAAAATTTCATAAACTTCCATTCTCTCACCTTTTGATGACGGAATAGATTTGTTTCATACAGGAGTTGCATAAAAGGTTATTTACCGGTATAGTAAATATATTAGGGTGATGCATGATTGAAAATGTTCTTTATGGGAAATCCAACCCAAATAGACAACTGCTCCAAAAGAAAGCAGACAAATCTGAAAAGCAAAATGATGAAAGTTTCAATTAAATCTGACTAAGATAAGAAGGTTATGAATTTTTAAAAGATGTAATCACTATACGTATGGGCACTTCAAATTGGCTGAAGCGGTAATGTCAATGTGATGTTGTGCCGGACTACTTTCCCATCTATTCCAACATATAAAATGACAGGAGGTCTATTCTTTTTAGAGGAACTATAATGCTATCTATAATCTATTTGAGTAGTGCCCCAAGGGAGAAGGAACTTACAAGAAAAACAGAAATTAGTGATATTTTTGAAGGGTCATTTATTGAAGGGTCAAAGGGAGGGAACCTTGCAAGATACGTCACAGAGTTGCCAATTTGTCTTTTATTGATCGCACCTTCAAAAATTAATAACTTTCTATTTTCAATTGGGTTTTGCTCAAACTTTCACTGACCGATTCTCGAATTTTTCTGCTTTTATTAAATCAATTTAATATGAGGGTGGACTTTCCCTTTAATATGATAGATATATGTGGTTAGAGTTATTTCATTCCAGGAAGTGGAGCTTTATGAATGAAAAATGATGGGAAGCACATGTAGTAAAACATAGGGTAGATAACAATAATATCCTAATTTTGTAGATAAATACAAAATCTAATTTTAGGCTACATCCAATGTGAAGTAATAAGAAGGGAGAGTGATTTTTGCATGTTTTGTTTTGGACTCAGATGCCTTTTAGTGTCAGTCACATTTACAATTCCAAGAAGAGAATTTGCATAATGCTTACTTCTTGGGATTGATTGTATAACATATTTGGCATTTACTGAAAACGAGATATATATGTACATGTATTTCTCAATCCTGGTAAAAGTTAAGCATTTATTATTATCCTTATCATTATTATCATTATTTTTTAAAATCATCATTTTTATGCCTCCGCCCATTGAAGGCATTACGTTTTGGGGCTGTCCGTACATCCCGTTTTCTCGTCAATGCGATATCTCCAGAGCTCCCAATCCTCCCAGAAAATCTACCAATGTTCTGATACATACAAAATCTACTTTCATAGACTGTATCTGGACAAGTACATTGTACCCCTTGGACAATTTTCCACACTCCCCTTACAACTACCCAAGGAGAATTTTGGTTAGGTGTAAAAATGTGAGAGGTTAAAATATCAGAGGTAAAAATGTCAGAGGTAAATATGCCGGGGTTATGAAAAAATGCCAGAAGCACCAATCCTTCACATCAACCAAATTTGATAGACGGGTTTCTATTTTTCTTTCACCTATACTTTACCTATGGCAATTATTACAGAAACATCTAAGCAAACTAACTAAACAAAGATCACTGGACTAGATGTCAACATTTCCATGTCACCCTCCCCCTTCCAATTTGTGTGCCTCCGCTACAAAGTAGCCGGAGGCATTATGTTTTCGGGTTGTCCGTACGTACGTCCGTCCGTATGTCCTGTTCTCGTGATCGCGTTATCTCAAGAACCCACTGATGGATTCCTGCCAAGCTTTGGTCTTGCACATAGCTTGCACATCAACCAATTTTGATAGACGGGTTTCTATTTTTCTTTCACCTATCCTTTACCTATGTCAATTATAAAAGAAACATTTAAGCAAACTAACCCAACGAAGATCACTGCACTAGATGTCAACATTTCCATGTCACCCTCCCCCTTCAAATTGTTATGCCTCCGCTACAAAGTAGCAGGAGGCATTATGTTTTCGAGTTGTCCGTACGTACGTCCGTCCGTACGTCTTGTTCTCGTGATCCCGAGAACCCACTGATGGAATCTTGCCAAACTTTGGTCTTGTATGTATCTTGCAGAACCAATGAACTGATTAGATTATTGGGTCACAAGGTCCAAGGTCAAAGGTCACAGGGCTCATTATGTATGCAAAAATAGCTCGTGATCGCGTTTTCTCAAGAACCCATTGATGGATTCCCGCCAAACTTGGGTCATGTATGTATCTTGCAGAGGCAATGAATCGATAAGATTTTGGGGTCACAAGGTCCAAGGTCAAAGGTCACAGGGCTCATTATGTATGCAAAAATAGCTCGTGATCGCGTTTTCTCAAGAACCCATCGATGGATTCCTGCCAAACTAGAGTCATGTATGTATCTTGCAGAGCCAAGAACTGATAAGATTTTGGGGTCACAAGGTCCAAGGTCAAAGGTCACAGGGCTCATTATGTGTGCAAAAATAGCTTGTGATCGTGTTATCTCAAGAACCCATTGATGGATTCGTGCCAAACTTTGGTCGTGTATGTATCTTGTAAAACCAATGAACTGATTAGATTATTGGGTCACAATGTCCAAGGTCAAAGGTCACAGGGCTCATTATGTATGCAAAAATAGCTCGTGATCACGTTTTCTCAAGAACCCATTGATGGATTCCTGCCAAACTTGAGTCATGTATGTATCTTGCAGAGCCAAGAACTGATGAGATTTTGGGGTCACAAGGTCCAAGGTCAAAGGTCACAGGGCTCATTATGTGTGCAAAAATAGCTTGTGATCGCGTTATCTCAAGAATCCATTGATGGATTTGTGCCAAACTTTGGTCGTGTATGTATCTTGTAAAACCAATGAACTGATTAGATTATTGGGTCACAAAGTCTAAGGTCAAATGTCACAGGGCTCATTATGTATGCAAAAATAGCTTGTGATCACGTTATCTCAAGAACCCATCGAAGGATGTCAACCAAACTTGGGTCATGTATTTATCTTGCAAAGCCAATGAACTGATTAGATTTTGGGTCATGAGGTCAAATGTCAAAGGTCACAGGCTTATTATGTATGCAAAAATAGCTCGCTTCTTTTTTGGTTTGTAAAATTGCTCCATGGCGGAGGCATTTTTTTTGACTGCGCGCGATCGAAGGTCCATCTTGTTTTAACCTATTTATGCTACTGTCTGTTGTTTAGAAGAGGCATAGTGATCCATGTGTGACTGTTGCCAAAGAACGTCAACTATGCACTGTGGGGCGCTATGTGACACATGTTTGATTTTGTCACAAAAGCAAACTCACATAGTGATTTTGTCCATGGAATCAAACCTGCGAGTGATTCTGTCCATGGAATCACTACTGACATTGATTTTGTGAAACCATCAAGTGGTTTTGTGAATTTTCATATCCAAACAAGGCATTTCCAGATTAATAGGTTTATGATCCGTTGGACATATATATTTGAAATGCTTGAATTAAAATAAACTAGAAGATAGGTAGAAGATTTTCTGATGCCTAATCGGTTTCATTGATATTAACAGACTCTTCAAACTATAGAATATAAACAACTAATCCATCCCTGGCTGCATGCATATTAACTTATTGATTTCCACATAAAGGTTGAAATACTCTTTTCAGATTTCATTGTGATAATCATCAATTTTATTGTTTCTCCTCTTGCTTGTTCTATTTAATGAATTGTCAAGTATTACTGTTCAAATTTTTTTTACAATTTTCTTGTATCCCTTTCATACATTCTCCCCCTCTCTCTCTCTCTCTCTCTGCCTTTTTGCTCTCCCTCTCCTCCCCATCTTCTCTCATAGTGACATTTCAATACTTGATTATTATTTTGATGAGACCATGAATTCACTCTCTATTGGTATTGCACTTGACTTTAATTGATAGGGATTGGGTATCTTTGCCTCAAATTCCCAACAAAATCCTAGAATTTAGCTCATGCTGCAACATAATTATAAACCTTTAGGTCAGTCAGGATCGCCTGTCTGATTATCAAGATATTTATGATTGGAAATCGAAATATCCAAACCTGAAAATGATTATGGTAAAACCGGTCACTCAAAGACTTTTACCTTTTTTAGGCACTTCATGATCATTATGAAGGGCAATTCTTTAGGGCTTTAATATTACACCATATCACAGACACTGATAATCATGCATCTCAGATTTTTAAAACTGGAAACATTGTTAAACGATGCCTTTAAGTAGATCTAGAATGTATATTTATTTCCTTCACACCCTCTCTATCTCTCTCTCTCTTTCCTTCACTCTCTTTTTGCCTCTCTATCTTCTCGCCCTCTCTCTCTCTGACTCTCCTGGGGGCCCTCTCTCCCTATGTCTCTCTCTTTACTTATCTAAATCCTTCCTATTTCGGCAATAAATACATAAATTGATATCAAAACATCTAATTAAATTACTATGGCGTAAAGACATCAAACACCAAAGATAACTGAAAGTTATCAGGCCAATCATCTAAATATTCTGATCACCTGTCTACAATTCAAATAAATCATTCTAATCATCTTAAAGGAATTTCTGTCTTCTGACATTAACAATGTGAATATTAATAAAACTGTTTCATGCATATACTTGGTGATAAATATAAGAAGGCAATGAGGAATCAGTACTAATGAATAAATATATGCATGTATAGATGAGTTACTTAACTACATTGACAAACCATGCAGGTCCAGAATATCTGCTGCCTTTTTATCAAGACTTTCACACCAGCCTCATCACACCACCTAGCAGAAGCACTGTGTTCTATGCCAAACCTGAATGACCTGTCATTCTGTGAGGTGGATGTCACTGAGGAGTTCTACCCTACATTGAAAGCACAGGCCTCATCCATACAGGTATGTGTATATTAATGTAAATGTCATGGAAATGGTTAAATTGAAAAAAAGAAAGAATAGAAATGATTTTATGATTGAATTGAATTTTTTAAAAATTTAAATTTATCTTTATTTCATTCATCATAAAAACATCTTAACAAACATACAAAATATAGCGTACAAGTTAAAGAGAAACATTTACAATAGAATACAACAACAAAAATATATATGAATGTGGAGACAGCTAGGAAAGCCAAAGGCTCTATTGGTGCTGCCACCAAAACAGTAATAAAGTATAATACAGTATTATACAGTGCAACCCAGCAAAAACGAAACCGAGAATTATCTCTTTTTTTTAATCATAACTCAATCACAATTATAATTAATTAATGACACATATTTGTAAAGCTTAGATCCTCCTCTTTCATTTGATGCAACTCATATGATGCATATTTCATACATTAGTAGCACTATTAATTTCATTGTTTTTAGGAGTAGGACTTATCGATGCAAACAGGTTGGAAGCCCTATAAAGAATACTTATTGAATTTATTTTAAAAATAAAACGCTATTACTGAAATTAACCTTTCCATAGAATCTTTAGTGCGTTCCTTTTTTTCAATTGACAAGAATTGAATTCAAATTCAAATTTGTTTATTTCACATATCTTAAAAATACAAGTTATGCAGATATTAACGGTTTAACAACAACATTGTACAAAAAATAGGCATATGATACAAATGAGTAAAGATGCATACACCGTCGAGACTGCTCCCCGTATTAACATTTATCTTGTAGAGGTGTTGTGGACGAGTGGATAAGTCGCCGGACTGTGGATCACAAGGTCTGTGGTTCAAGTCCCGCCGCAAGATGTCTTTGGCAAGACATTGATCTACATTTGCCACTCTCCACCCAGGTGTTAAATGGGTACCCGGTAGAATGCGAAAGCTAATGTGGTTAGATTAGCAAGTGTGCGCATGTAAAAATGACGCCTGGCTGGAATGCTCCCCAGGGAGTGGAGAATGTGCAAACATTGTGTGCGGGTAAGCCTGAATCCAATGACTGGGGTAATAATATACTTATTTGTAAAGCGCTTTGTGAGGGCCTCCGGTCTTGAAAAGCGCTATATAAGAACGAGCTATTATTATTATTATTATTATCTCTGTAACAAATCAAAAGTTACAATAGACATTAGTATATAAGAAACAAAAATAAAAACAATAAAGAAGAAATAAACACAAACAAACAAAATAACAGACAAAAAAGCATAAAATAAATAAAAAATTGCCGGAAGGCTCGTCAATTAAGTAATATAGTAATTCAAAAGGTTAGATTTGTATTCTTTTTTTAAAAAGATTTTAGCAAGGTACGGTACAGTGTTTAAATTTGGATGGCAAATTGTTCCACACGATTCGTTCCTGTTTTCACGAAGTGACGGTAGTGAGGAAAATCTGCACGCAAATTGTATGCAATTTTCTTCACTACCGTCACTTCGTGAAAATAAGGACAAATTAGTCCATTGTAACTTATACCTGTTCTTGAGAAGCTGATACAGTAAAAGGGAATATGTAATTTATCAGTTTCTTGTTAAGTATTTGTTGTGTTCTTACACATGTACTGTTCATCTTTGGTACTACGCTAGAATCCACTCTACTGCCCTCCGCGGTAAAAAGCAGTATATCAGTTAACCAAACACCCTTTTTTAAAGGCCATTCACTTGGTTTATTGGAACAGTCATGCAACATGGAATGAAAGCACACTACACATGTTCTGATACTGATTTCAGTTAAAATGTAATTGTGTAAGATTTACATTGTTTTGATCAATAATCAATATCCAACCTTTTCCAAGTTTGATTGATGGCAAAAATATGTCATATGATTTTTTTAAGACCCAATTTTGATAAAGGCTTGAATTTCACCAAACCGTACCATATCAACAAACCTACCAACTTAGAGGTCGGGTGCACATGAAATCTAGAGCCTTGAATACCTTGAATACATTAATAATAAATGTATATTTATGGGCATTATTGATTTTAGTGTTATTAGGAGAAGGACTAATCAATGCAGACAGGTTCGAAGCTCTTCAAAGTCACTTTAAATATACATAAAGAATGTGTTTCTTATCATTATTAGTATTACTAAATCTTCTCCATAAAAACCTTTAGTGTGTTCTTTTTTTTTTATAGACAAGAATTAAATTTGAAATATTATTCCTTCATTTTTGTCAGGAATGTCATGCAACTATGTAATTAATGGAATTTGTGTGAAATGTAAGAATACAGTGAGAAATTAGTAAATAAAACATGCATATACAGACGTACTGCTCAACTATATTCACAATGAATGCAGGTCAAGACTCTCCATCTTGATGATCCCCGGGATCCCACACCAGTCACATCACAACACCTTGCAGAAGCACTGTGTTCTATGCCAAACCTGACTAAACTGACACTTCTAATGGATCTCCCTGAAGAGTTCTACTTTACACTGGAAGCACATGCATCGTCCATAAAGGTATGTTTGTACTATTGTTTGTGTCATGGAGGGGGTCATTGAAAGAAAAAAAGAAGAGCATTAATGATTATATGGCGCACTTGTTTATTGTGATTTTTTGTTTGTGGAAAATGATACAAAAATAATAGAAAAGATCTGCTAGATCTACCAGTGTTGTTAGATCTAAATGTTTGCATAAATATGCTTAAATTTCACTATTTATAACAGCCACAATCCTCTGAATAAACATGCATGCCTTTGCTAATATCAGATTTATCTCATAATAATTTTTTTTTCCATCTATCTTTGGCAACTTCAAGTGCTTTTCTATTAATCCAAATACTTTGCGTTTCTTTTGAAACCTGATATATTTATTTAGTTATTACAACAAATTTCGATTCTCACCGCTGTTGCAAGGGAAGTTTGGACTAGTCACAAAAGGTATATGCATGTAGTACGTTAGTGATTATGTGATCATACCCAGATATCATTCAAAATTATGAGAGTATAATTAGAAAGACAACAACTACTCAAAATTGTTGTAAACAGATACATAACTTGGACAAAGTGTTCAATAGTTGTCCAAGAAATGCCACAAAAATGCCACAGAAATAGTGATATTTGAGGAGTTATTATGTACATTTTTATCAGAATGGGCCTTCTACGAGGTTCTTTGATACATGTTGATCACTACGCTAGAATCCACTCTACTGCCCTCTGCTGTAAAAAGCAGTATATCAGTTAGCCAAACACCTTGTTTTATAGGCCATTCACTTGGTTTATTGGAACAGTAATGAAACCTGGAATGAAAGCACACTACACATGTACTGATCCAGTTGGAATCCAAGTGTGTATATCGTTTGGTCAATAATCAATATCCAACCTTTTCCAAGTTTGATAGCAAAAATATGTCATATGGTTTTTTAAGAGCCAATTCAAATAAATGCTTGATTTTTACCAAACCGTACCATAGCAACAAACCTACTAACTTAGGGGTCTTGTGCACATGAAATCCAGAGCTCTGAATACCTTTAATACATTTATAGCAAATGTATATTTATGGGTATTATTAATTTCAGTGTTAGTAGGAATATGACTTATCAATGCAAACAGGTTAGAAGCCATTCAAAGAATACATATAGAATATTTTTAAAATCTCTTTTTAATTAAATCATCCTCTCTATAGAAACTTAAGTGTGATTTTTGTCAATAGACGAGAATTGAATTTGAAAATAAAACCTATTCATCCAATGTTTGTTGAGAATGTCTTCATTTTAACTGCAACTTTGTAATTAATGGTATTTGTGTGAAATGTAAGAATACAGTGAGAAATTAGTAAGAACAAATGTATGCATGTATAGATGAGTTACTTAACTATTATAAATTCACCATAAATGCAGGTCCAGACTCTCACGCTTTGTGGTACCCAGTGTCCAAAACCAGCCTCCTCGCACCACCTTGTAGAAGCACTGTGTTCTATGCCAAACCTGGCTGACCTGACACTTGAAATGGGTCTCCATGAGGAGTTCTACTCTAGATTGAAAGCAAAGGCATTGTTCATAAAGGTATGTGTGTACTAATGTAAATGTCATGGAGAGGGTCATTGAACGAAGAAAAAAAAAGCAGTAATGATTATATGATGCACATGTATATCAGTTTTTTTTCATTCCCAACACGCTTTTGTTTTTTAAGAGCCAATTTTAATAAAGGCATTAATTCTACCAAACTGTAAATTAAACATAGCAACAACAGCAAATCCTAACTTTGGGGTCTCATGCACATGAAATCCAGAGTTATGAATACCTTTTATACAATAATAGCAAATGCATATCTGTGGGCAGGTCCACAAAGTATTCAAAGGAAGATAGAACATACAGGCATTTATTTAGCACACCTGGCAGTCCCTGTACTGAAAAGGATGATGGTTACCCCTGTAACACAATCAACGAGTCCAGCTACTCTTGAGCTTGACCCGACTTCGTGGAGAACAGCATTCTACTGTTACTTTCATCAAGAAATAACACCAGTCTGTCTTTTCTCTTTATTTAAGGGTCGAGGTGGGCTACATATCTATGGGTATTATTAATTTCAGTGTTCTTAGGAGTAGGAATTATCAATGCAAACAGGTTGGAAGCCCCATAAGGAATATATATAGAATTTATTTCAAAAAAACATTATTAAATTCTCCTCTCCATAGAAACCTCATTGTGTTCTTTTTTTCAATAGACAAGAAATGAATTTGGAAATAAAGTCTATTCACTCATTTTTGCTGAGAATATTTTTATGAACGCAACAATTTATTTAATGGAATAGTGTGAAATGTAAGAATACAGCGAGGAATTAGTCAACAAAATGTATGCATGAATAGATGTATTACTTGACTATATTCACAAACAATGCAGGTCAAGACTCTCAAGCTTGGTGCTTTCAAGTGTCCAACACCAGCCGAATCACATCACTTAGCAGACGCACTATGTTCTATGCCAAACCTGACTGACTTGACACTTGACAAGGTTCACAATGACATCTACTCCACATTGAAAGCAAATGCATCATCCATACAGGTATGTGTGTCCTAATGTCTTTGGAGGAAAGAAAGAGCAGTACCAGTAATCCTTATATGGGGCACATGGAGAGATGTCTTTTTTCTTCCAAACACCCTTTTTTATTTTTAAAGACCTTTCACTTGGTATATTGGAATAGTCATGACACATTTAATGAGAGCAAAGTACACGTTTACTGATTCAGTTGAAATCCAAGAGGGTATCAAACCCAGGAGGGGGGGGGGGGGGGTCACTCTCATACACAAGTGCTACCCATCCGTGTCCATCAACCTATGAAAAGGACCCTAATGGCATATATATTACACATTTTCTGAAATGGATCCTAGAAGGCGTATCACACATTTTAAAGTTAACACCTCAAAATCGTTATAAATGGCTTTGAAAAACTTGACGCAAAATGTACTATTTCACTGAATAGTATACCCATGAATTAAAAGATGAATGTGTATTAGTCTTAAGAATACAACTACCCAAAGGAAAATCATTGTCTTCTCAGAAATGAAATTGTAACTTCTTTTTAATTTTAATCTTCAAGAATCACCATCTACTGCAATCACTTGATATACAATGGTATATTAAATATTACAACACCTTACAATCAAGTTCAACAGGGAACTGCGCGATGATTATCGAGAACGTCAAGGACCCATCTGGCTTGAGTGGCAGGTCAATAATGGCATCGGGATCGGGTTCATCCTCTTTAGCGACACAAATGAAATCCATGTTTGGCAAGAAAATAATTTATGAGTAGTAGGAAGTCGTTTGTAGCGAAGGTTTTCAGTAAAGAATGTGTAATCGCGCTAAGAAATCCTGGTGAAAAATCAATCAATGAACTTCGCAAAATGGGCACAAAATACACACGTGGCACTTTGCAAGATCGCAAGATGATTGTGTAGTCCAGCTAAAAAGACCCTATTTTCACTTGATGCATAATCTCGGCATAGATCAATGGATATCAATCGGGAGATTAGTCCATCAATCCCAGATCAATAGAACTTAGAAGAGCCTGTCTATGATTTATTTTGAACTATTATTCATGATTAATAACCGATACTGTAAAAATTGTTTTTACAATTGATCACAGAGCGATAATAAGACTGAATATTATCAAATATTAGTTATAAAATACTGTAGATAAGGCCCAAAGATAAGACTAGAGAACCCGGCCAGGTACCTACTGGTGCGCTGACAATGATGTAATTACATGCGTACGTATGGATATGCTTTGTATGGCATTATTATACACGTTACACCTGTACCTATATCCCCCCTGGCCCTAGCTACTGTATATTTCCATATTTCAATATTATTATACCAGGTGAATTCCCTAAACAAGGTGTGTGTGCGCTCATGGCCGAGCAGGTTTGATCAATTATTATGCATATTTTTAAGAAAAGGTCGAAACTTGTGAACCTGAAAAGGTACCCTTTTTTAAGACAACGTTGAAACCTGTGAACGAATTAACCTCCTGACTTCTGGGTCTTGTTCATATTAAATCCAGTGTTATGAATACCTTTACCGTAATACATTTAAGTGACTCTGTAACATTGGTGAAGGTTGATGAATAAAACTGTAATTTGTGTATGAAATGTTACTTGTTATATTCCTTCTACTGTACCTACCCTTTAACAGGCAAAAAATCCTGAAAAAATTCTCAAACCACAAAGATATTAATGGTTGGATTTGGAAGTGTCACTATGCAACACCCTCTAACAGTGATTAACAGTAAATTCTCCTAACTATTTTTGAATTTTCCCAACCGTTTTCCCTTTAAAATAAGATATAAGATAGGCTTACTAAAATAGTATATAGAGCCAGTTCATTGCTTTGTGACGATTTACATTCACCTGAAATGTAATTTAATTGCATTAATATAGTTGGGAGAATTAGGGAATCGATCAGATTATTTTTTCCCAATTATTGACGTTAAATATGGTCCATTTTCACTCAAACTTTCAGATTATCTTTAATCGTAAATCTAGCATCGAAGTCGCTAACTCTCATCTGAACAATGACCAAGTCCCTAGTAAATTAAAAAGTAAATGTATATTTATGGGTATTATTAATTTCAGTGTTAGTAGGAGTAGGAATTATAAATGCAAACAAGTTGGAAGTCCTACAAAGAATACATATATAATTTTTAAAAAGCACTCTTACCCAATCCCCCTCTCCATGGAAACTTTAGTGTGTACTTTTCCTCAATAGACAAGAATTTAATTTAAGAAGAAAATCTATTCAATCATTTTAGCAGAGAATGTTGTTATGAATACAACTACACTGTTGCTCATAACGGTGGAATATATTTTTTTATCCCAATTTATGGAATTATTTAAAAAATAATTTAAAAATACTAGATCTAGATAATAGTATACAGTCTCAGATTTTATTGAATAATAATTTGCCAATATGTGTTTTGCGTGACTGCTAAAGCATGTATATTATGCTACTATGTTTATCAACTAGGGGACCTATGCCCTTAAGTCATAAATGACAGTAATGAGGATTAATGCCTCACAAAAGGGCTCTGATATAGCACATCGACACGGTGTTGATCCTGGGGCCTCACAGTTACGAGGCCATTGCTTTGTCACTGAACCATGACTGTACGCAGCGGGGGCTAGGGTAGGGGGCAGTTTCCATAAATTAAAAAAAGAAAAGAAAATGCAATAAATATTCAATAATTTATTGCATTCTACCCCGGTCCCCAACATAAAAAAATCCTCTGGACGGCCATGCATTATGGCTCAAGGCATGTGCACACAGAAGATTTTTTTTATTTAGTAGGAAGTCGTTTGTAGCGAAGGTTTTCAGTAAAGAATGTGTAATCGCGCTAAGAAATCCTGGTGAAAAATCAATCAATGAACTTCGCAAAATGGGCACAAAATACACACGTGGCACTTTGCAAGATCGCAAGATGATTGTGTAGTCCAGCTAAAAAGACCCTATTTTCACTTGATGCATAATCTCGGCATAGATCAATGGATATCAATCGGGAGATTAGTCCATCAATCCCAGATCAATAGAACTTAGAAGAGCCTGTCTATAAATAACAGTAAATGACAGTAATGAGGATTAATGCCTCACAAAAGGGCTCTGATATAGCACATCGACACGGTGTTGATCCTGGGGCCTCACAGTTACGAGGCCATTGCTTTGTCACTGAACCATGACTGTACGCAGCGGGGGCTAGGGTAGGGGGCAGTTTCCATAAATTAAAAAAAGAAAAGAAAATGCAATAAATATTCAATAATTTATTGCATTCTACCCCGGTCCCCAACATAAAAAAATCCTCTGGACGGCCATGCATTATGGCTCAAGGCATGTGCACACAGAAGATTTTTTTTATGTTGGGGACCGGGGTAGAATGCAATAAATTATTGAAAATTTATTGCATTTTCTGTTTTTTTTTAAATTTATGGAAACTGCCCCCTACCATAGCCCCCGCTGCGTACAGTCATGGTTCAGTGACAAAGCAATGGCCTCGTAACTGTGAGGCCCCAGGATCAACACCGTGTCGATGTGCTATATTAGTGCCCTTTTGTGAGGCATTAATCCTCATTACTGTCATTTATGACTTAAGGGCATAGGTCCCCTAGTTAATAAACATAGTAGCATAATATACATGATTTAGCAGTCACGCAAAACACATATTGGCAAATTATTATTCAATAAAATCTAAGACTGTATACTATTATCTAGATCTAGTATTTTTAAATTATTTTTTAAATAATTCCATAAATTGGGATAAAAAAATATATTCCACCGTTATGAGCAACAGTGTATGTTATTAATTGAATTTGTGTGAAATGTAAGAATACAGTGAGAAATTAGTAAATAAAACACATACATGTATAGACTTGTTGCTTAACTCATGTCTATATTCACCATAAATGCAGGTCCAGACTCTCAAGCTTCATTTGGACAAGAGTCCCAAACCACACACATCGCATCACCTTGCAGAGGCACTGTGTTCTATCCCAAACCTGTCTGACCTGACACTCCATGGGGAGGATCTCACTGAGGAGTTCTTCTCTACATTGAAAGCAATGGCATCATCCATACAGGTATGTGTGTCCTAATATTAATGTCATGGAGGATCATTGAAAGAAAGAAACAGCAGTTACAGTTATATTGTGCACATGTGTATATGTTTTTTTTCCTCCAAACACCCTTTTTTAAGGGCCATTCACTTGGTATATTGGAACAGTCATGAAACATGGAATAAAGGCAAACTACACATGAACTGATTCAGTTGAAATCCAAGTGTGTTTATAGTACTTACATTGTTTTAATCAAAAATCATATATCAAAATCGAAGAGGTGTCTTTTTTGTAACTATTTAGGGATTTGCTTATGTATCAGGACAATATCCTGTGCAAAGGAGAGGCTTATATTTCAGTTTGCTGACAAGATATTTGCATTACGGCTGTCCAGAATGCCAGAATAGGGGTGAGGCACATACATGAACAGATTCTGTATATTGACCTTATCTAGACTTGCTATGATGCACACCATGTTATAACCGTAAGAGTAATTTGAAGGATACTCAGAGAATGATGGGGATGCTGAGAATATTGGGAGTTTTTATTCAGAAAATCCAACGGTGCGTTCACAATCAGATACTGACTTAAATGAATATTGAAGAAAATGGAAAGGAGACCCTGCCTACAGGCCTATCACGATTATGGGAATGGGTGTGGGGGATTTTTCTTCTTCCCCAGACGAGTTATGAATATGATGCATAATATCTTCCCTTTCAAATTTTGTGTGTGGATATATTGGAAATATGTGTAAGTTTGATAAAGAGTCCTTTCCAACATTATAAATAGTCTGACATTTTAACCACCCAAACGTGATTATAATGCTAAGAAGTTCTTAACTTTGAAGAAAATGATAGATAAATGCATCATATGCATGTATTTTGAAGGTGAGAGTGTGGAAGATATCTCGGGAGTTATTAAGTCCCCAGAATTGCCAAAGTGTACAATGGTTCAATATCATAAGTTTTTTTACAAGAAATAAAAAGGGCACATCCTGGATATTGTGGAGAACAAGTCCCCCACCCCAACCAACCCAATTTGAAAGAAAAATGAAGATCAAAAACTCCCAATATATGTTTAGAATGCAAATTAGTTCTGAATTTTGAAAGAAATTAAAGGGATCCGGTAACTTTGTCTTAGATCCTTTTAAAAGAATCCTTGATTTAGCTCATGCTGCAATAAAAATTATAAACCTTTAGGTCAGTCAGGAACCCCATTAATGGTACAAGCCCGTCAAAGATATTTATGAATGAAAATCGAAATCAAATTTTGCGTTTGCCAAACGGTTTTCATAACACTACAGTCTATTGGGGAAAACGAGTATGGTAAAACTGGTCACTCAAAGGTTTTTACTTTTTTGAGGCACTTCTTGATCAATTTAAAGGGCTTCAATATAACACCATATCACAGACACTGATAACAGATGGGTGTGGGATGAATGTTTCAGATTTGAATCACCAGGGCGTGGTATGATGCACACCTCTTTTTTTTTGGGGGGGGGGGGGAGGGGGGGGGGCGATTTCAACAAAAGATAAAGCCTGCATTTATGTAAATTAGAAAATGGCATAGTTATTTATACAAACAAATCCCTAGAATTCGAATTTCCTGACCTAATTAGAGAACATTCAGTTAGATAAAAGGAAAAAATTGCTTGTTTGCCCCCTCATACCCCTTCTCTCTCTTTCAATCAATGCATGTGCAATAACTATTTACCAGGGGCTTCTACTGACAACACCTGTCATTTTTGGTAGAAAAAAAGGGGCAGATTTGCCGTGGAGAGTTTGGGAAATTTGGGAAATTCCCCACAATGATGAAGGTCCAGTCGATCTGAGGGCCACCTGATATATGCATCTTATATATTGGGTGGGCTGGCCGCATCAAACTTTTAAAACCAATTTTCAGTCCCAATCCGCCCGAGAAACATCAAATGAGTTTTTGTCTCGCCTGCGTAGCAAAAAGCGAGACATAGGCGCCGCTTTTCCGGTGACGGCGGCGGCGGCGGCGGCGTCAACATCAAAAACTTAACCTAAGGTTAAGTTTTTGAATTTTTGATATCATTTTTGTCTCGCCTGCGTAGCAAAAAGCGAGACATAGGCGCCGCTTTTCCGGTGATGGCGGCGGCGACGGCGTCAACATCAAAAACTTAACCTAAGGTTAGGTTTTTGAATTTTGGATATAATTTTTAAAGTATAAGTTCTTAGTCAATGAAACTTTGACTATAGGGTAAGCAAGTATCCCCAATCATGTGAGTAGAATTTCAGATCACAAAGTCAAGGTCAAAGGTCATTTCAAGTCAACAGACTTGGACTATGTTGTGGCATCACCATCAAGATTTTCAAAATGCTTCTTCGTTATTTTTCAACCGATTTTGATTCTGATTGTTTCATATGATAGGGCTAGGAGGGGGATTTAAAATTTCTACACAGAATCGTGAAATTCATTATCTATGCTAATTTATGCAAATTTATTCGAAATCACAAAAAAGGCCTCTTCTCCTTCATTTCTCGACCGATTTTGATTTGGTTTGCTTTATATCGTAGAGCTAACTTTGGTACACTCAACTTCTACACAGAATTTTGAAATTGTTCTCCATTAATTAATTATGGTTATTTATGCAAATTTATTCCAGTTCAAAAGTGTACCACATAAAATTTACGACATTTGTTGTTGCGAGATGCGGATGAGTGCTACGTCATTGACGTTCTGGTTTATCATATTGAATTGTGTTATGCAGGCGAGACCGCCGAGAGTGTTTCCCTTGTTTGTCAAAGTCATGATGTAGAAAAATACAGAGGCCGGTCAAGGTCTGTCTGTCTATTATCTGGCACTATGAACATGACAGACAATGAAAGCGGACAAAATATACAGTTCCTCAGGTAGACAAAGGAACATCCCTTCACTGCTATTATGTAAAAATGTGTAGAACAGGTGAATATGCATGTGACACCTGTTCTACAAATTTTTACATAATAGCAGTGAAGGGATGTCCCTTTGTCTACCTGAGGAACTGTATATTTTGTCCGCTTTCATTGTCTGTCATGTTCATAGTGTGGGTATGTGATCTTTGGACAGAGCTGCAATAGTTTTAGTTATTCTAGGACCTAATGGATAGCCATCATTTTTGTTTTCTATTTGATTTATCCTCATTGAAGGTGGACAGACGGGCCACGGCCCCCCTCTGAGAGAAAGTAAATCCATGCAAAAAAAAAAGATTCATGAATGAAAATGGGAAATTCGTTCCCCACGCGCACCCCTTCTTAGCAATACACTAAGCTTTCAGAGTTATGAATCTTCTTTCATTTTAAGAGTTATGAACGCAATAGTATACAAAGTTTGGGTGTTTATAATTATTTTACCTCAGAAAAATGAATATTTTTAAATAAGAGTGCCACTCCCCAACTGGGTTGATTTTTAACCATTATGACATTTGATGTCTTTGAGATGACATGCTGAGTTTGCAAGACAAAATGCAAATCCAACCATTGTGAGTGCAAACAAATTGTTACTTAATCCTGATAAGGCGGGGGGGGGGGGGGCATAATCCCCCTTTCAAATTTTTGCCGCTGCATCAAAACCCTCAAACCTTTAGCGCTGAAATTTCATTAGTTTTTTTCCCTCATGTATTCAGCACATGTTGATACCAAATTTGTTATGGGCGGACCTATGGTTCGGGTATAAGGTGACAAAATATCACATGTCAATCAAAATATGTAATTCTCAAAAATGTGCGTGTGTAAATATATTGCAGTTATATGATTTTTATCAAAATCAATATCATGAGTGATTTATTTCATGTTATGCAGTCATACATTCATGATTATACCTGTTTAGTATTGGCCAAGCAATATTTTATTCACAATGAAATACATAAGAAAATAAAAACAATAGAATACATAAGAAATTGGTAATTATAAATATAAAAGAAACTGACGCTTTTCACCCGCAAAATATTGTACAAACTATAGTTTCATATGAAAACAACTTGAAGCAAACATATTAGTACCTGTGTGTGTGTGTTTATTTGTATGTTTGCATTAGAAACTATTATATTTCAATTGATAAATGCTATGACTCAACTTAAACAGCAATTTTAAATCAAATCTGCCCATGCATTGTTCAAAATCACCATTTTTGAGAAAACAAATTATTCATATTGTCATAAAAATATTAATACAAAATAAATAAGTAAACATAAAAGGAAATAAACATTACCATCCTATTCAATATACTTAAATATATCACTATGCTAATTTTCACATTAATTGGAGCTTCCTAGGCCGATATCTTAGGGGGGGGGCATACCCCCCCCCCTGGCCGTATTAAGACCTCAAATAGCCCGGCCATTTTTAGGGTTAAATTCTATACAAGGACAACAGAAGTACTTGGATTTGGTTTGGAACATTAATTTGACACGACTCATGGAATACTAGATCTATATGATATTTATCACAGTTAAGCCCTCATCACATTTGACAGACCCTTTTAACCATTTTAATCAAACTATTTCTAATTATAGATATCTATATACGGCTTTTTATGCATTACTTTTTGTATAAACTAAACGTGTATAAAGGTATATATTTTTTTTAAATGTCAATGCAATAAACTTTATTCTGATAGTTGTAAGATTAGAAATGTTTTCTACCAAATTAGCTAATAACTTATTTTTATTTGAAAGAAGAAATGTAATAGCTATATTAACGCAACTAAAAAAAGTTAGAAGTGGAAAACTGTAGAAATACTGGCTGGGTTCCAGCGGGGTGCTAGTCTGATCCCGGTGTTCTTAACAGAGGAGAGGAGCTAATAGGTGACGCTGTTAGCTCTTGAAAAACTCTCATAACCCTATGACGAGAACATGACAAGGCGGGTTGGGTCGCCTTCAAATAAACCCCGTCCTGCACCGGGCAGCAGCGATGCAGTACCTGTAGTTGGCGGAGGATCCAAACCTTGGACAACGGTGGCTACGGGGGAGCAGAGGGCAGGCCGGCATTAATGCTTCTGGCTTCTCTACTGCGATGGAAGGATCTGGCCGCCCACCATTATTAATTGGTCGCGTTTGTCATCGTGAGAGTACAAAATCAACAAATCAAGTGGGTATCGGAAGGTGGAACCCGCAGGCCGGAAAATACGTCAAGAGCTACTGCGGAAGAGAGAGGTACTGCTCGTAGTACGCTTGCGGGTGATGACGGATCAGGATCAAAGCCTCTTGTAGGAAGTTCTGATCATGAAGGTCCCATGATGGAAAGGAACAGCACCCCTCTAAGGAAACCAATCAATGTAGCCACGTGGAACGTGCGTGGTATGTCTGATGGGAAGATCGAGATGGTGGAGAAGGAGATGGCTTTAAATGATATTAAAGTTTTTGGAATATCTGAATCATGGTGGCTTGGACAAGGCAGATTTACATCAGACGAAGGAAATACAATCATCTTTTCGGGGAAAGAAAGTGGAAGGAAGCGAAGGGGTGTGGGATTCATCATAGAGAAGGCTACAGCTAAATGTGTCTTGGGATACAACCCGATCAACAAGAGAATTATGACTGTGCGATTACAAGGGCATCCTATGAATATCTCCATAATTCAGGTATATGCACCAACAGCAGACGCACCGGAGGAAGAAATCACTGATTTCTATGAGATGGTACAAGATGTCGTAGACAGCATTCCTAGGAAAGATTTCCTCATAATATTGGGTGACTGGAATGCCAAGATTGGTAAAACGAGGGGTAAATCTGAGTACATTGGCAATCATGGTCTTGGCATCAGAAATGAAAGAGGTGATCTTTGTGGCTAAACTGAGACTAAGACTGAAAGCTAAGAAATGTGATTCAGCTCCCACAAGGTATGATGTTGAAAATATCCCTTCTCAATTCTCAGTGGAAGTGAAGAACAAGTTTGAGCTGCTGTTGAGAAACGTTGAAGCAGAGCAAACACCGAATGAGCTGTGGGAAGACATGGAAGAAACAGTTGAAAATGCAACAAAGAACCACATCCCAAAGAAAAGGAAGCGGAAACAACCATGGATCTCCAATCAGACTTTCAACATTGCTGATGACAGGAAGAGAGCAAAAGCAAAACACAATAGAGGAGAATGGTCGAGACTCAATAAAGCAGTTACAAATACATCGAGGGGAAGTGTGAAGACCTAGAGCGTCACAAGAACAACTCCAAGGCAGCATTTGCAATTGTGAAAGAAATCACAAAGAAAACAATCCCAAGACTGGATGTAATTAATGATGACAATGGCAAAACATTGACGGAAAATGAAGACATCAAGGAAACATGGGTGCAGTATAGTACCAAGCTGTTTGCTGCACAGGAACAAGTTGACACTCAGTGGGAGGAAAGTGATGAAATGGAGCCCCCTCTATTAAGATCAGAAGTGGAGCTTGCAATGAAACAACTGAAGGATGGCAAATCCCCTGGCTTTGACAACTTGACTTCCGAGATGTGGAAGGCTACAGGTGAAGAAGGTACTGACCTGATGTGGCGTCTCTGTTGCAATATCTGGAATAGTAGGGAGTGGCCTAAGGACTGGTGTAGAGCTGTTTTTATACCATTGCCAAAGAAGGGAGATCTGAAAGAATGTGCAAATCACCGAACGATCAGCTTGATTTGTCATGCAAGCAAAATACTCCTGAAGGTGATTAGCAGAAGAATGAAAATCAAACTGCAAGCTGATATCTCAGATGAGCAAGCAGGGTTCTGTGAAGGTAGAGGGACAAGAGAACAGATCGTCAACAATAGAAACATAATCGAGAAATGCAGAGAACACAGACATCCCCTCTATTTGTGCTTTATAGATTATAGCAAAGCATTTGACTGTGTGAGCCACTCTCATTTGTGGAATACAATGGCAAAGATGGGGTTCCCAAGTCACATCATCGAACTGATCAAAAACCTCTATCATGACCAAGAAGCAACCGTGAGAACCAGTAACAGCAATACTGAGTGGTTTGGAATTGGTAGGGGAGTACGTCAAGGATGCATACTGTCTCCGAACCTTTTTAACATTTATTCTGAGGACATTATGAGAAATGCTCTGGAAGGATTCAATGGGGAGTCAAGTTTGGAGGTAAAAAGATCACAAACCTAAGGTATGCTGGCGGCACTACTCTCGTTTGCAGCAGCAGAGAAGAGCTGATGGATTTGTTGAATCGCATCAAACAGGCAAGTGAAGAGAAAGACCTTCTAAACACCAAAAAGACAAAAATAATGGTTGTCGATAGAGATGATAATAACACTGACTTCACCGTAGCTGGAAATAAGATTGAAGTAGTAAATCGGTTTGAGTGCTTGGGTTCAATCATCACTAACAAAGGAGAGAGCACCACAGAGATAAGGAGAAGGATGGCAATGGCGAGATCAACAGTACAGAATATGTCTCACATCTGGAAGAGCCGAGGCCTATCTCTCAGTCTGAAGGTTCGTCTGCTTCAAGCAACTTCTTTCTCTATTGCGACTTACAGGAGTGAGTCCTGGGCCATGACAAAGAATGACAGAAAGAGAGTTGATGCCTTTGAAATGTGGTGCTACAGGAGGCTGGTGCAGGTGTCATGGAAAGATAAAAAGACAAATGTGTGGGTCCTGGAAAAGTTTGGAACAGACTTGACCATCAGAAGGGGAATCATGGAAAGAAAACTAAACTATTTTGGGCACATTGTTGGGAGATCTGAAGGTGTTGAGAAGCAAATACTGCAAGGAGCAGTCGAAGGAAAACGAGGTAGAGGTCGTCCACCAATATCTTGGACTGATGATATCAAGAAAGTGTCTGGACAAGGAATGAAAGGTGCAACACAAATGGCAGGTGAAAGAGTTGCATGGCGTGCTCTCGTGAAGACCACAGCAGCGCTTTACAGCGCCACCTGAAGTTGATGATGAAAATGCTATTCCTTTTCTATGTTTTTTCTTCAATAATGGAAAAGAAAAAAAATTGCGGATTTACAAGACCTGCACGTCAGTCTTGTGGGCATTCTAATATTTTCTTCTGAGGGTTCAAGAGGCCTCCATTGCTGGTCTCGTGGGCTGTATATATAATCCAAGCTAGATCCGAAGCATGATTTTGTTTAGTTATCTTTCTTTGATTATGTTGAAATATTTTTTTTTTACCATCGCAAGATTTTACCAAGCAGTAAGGTGGAGGGAAGTGTCTAAAAATAGTTGATAGTATGTGTGTGTGTGGGAAGGGGGAGGCAACTTCCCATGCCTAAATTTTATAAAACCTCACAAAGTATATATAGAGATACTTATCAATTGCACTCAGTACTCCTGATCCTTTGAACTGTCTGTATTACTAAATGTCCAATCACCATCGTCCAGTTACACCAAGAACCTGTCCAAAAATATATATATATATATATATATATATATTATTTATTTATTTATTATTTTATTTATTTTTTTTTTGGGGGGGAGGAATATCAACACACACAAACAATATATTTTCAGCTCAAAATTCATATTTTACACACTACATAACTCAAAGCAATTGATGTCAACCTGAATTTCTATTAATTGTACCAGAATTGTGATAAAATCTTTTGAATAAACAAGGTGTACTTTTTTCGAGTGGTAGTGGGAGGCAACTCAAAAACTAAGCATGATATTTGACTTTGGCCCTATGGTTATTCGTAGAAGTAGGACTTATCAATGCAAACTGGTTGGAAGCCCTATAAAGAAAAAAATATAGAACTATACAAAAAAACGCTCTTACAAAATCTTCCTCTCCATAGAAACTTTAGTGTGTTCTTCATTCTCAATAGACAAAAATTGAACTTGAGAAGAAAATCTGTTTAATCATTTTTGTTGAGATTGTTGTTTTGAATACAACTATGTGATTAATAAAATTGTGTGAAGTGTACGAAAACAGTAAGAAATTAGTAAATGAAACATATGCAAGTATAGACGTGCTGCTTAACTATATTCACAAACAATGCAGGTCCAGACTCTCAAGCTTGATGTTGTCAAGAGTCTCACACCAGCCTCATCACATCACCTAGTAGAAGCACTCTGTTCTATGCCAAACCTGAATGACCTGACACTGAATGGAAGGTTTCTCAATAAGGAGTTCTACTCTTCATTGAAAGCAATGGCATCATCCATACAGGTATGTGTGTACTAATGTAAATGTCATGGAGGGTTATTAATGGACAGAAAGAACGGTAATTTATTATATGGTGCACTTCTTCTTTTTTTCTTTTTTTTCAAACACCCTTTTGCAAAGGCAATTTACTTGATATATTGGGACAGTCATGAAAAATGGCATGAAAGTAAACTACACATGTACTGATTCAGTTGCAATTCAAGGGTGTATAAAATTTACATTGTTTTGATCAATGATCGATATCCAACCTTTTCCAAGTTTGATTGATAGGAAAACTATGTCATATATTAGTTTAAGAGCCAGTTATAAGAAAGACGTGAATCAACAAACTGTACCATAGCAACAAACCTCCTGACCTAGGGGTCTTGTGCCACGAAATGCAGAGTTATGAATAACTTTAATACCTAAATAGCAGATGCATAATTTTGGGTATCATTAATTTCAGTGTTATTAGGAGTAGGAATTATCAATGCAAACAGGTTGGAAGCCCTATAAAGAATACATAAAGAATTTTAAACAAAATACTCTTACAAAATCATCCTCTCCATAGAAACCTTAATATGTCTTTTCTCAATAGACAAGAATTAATTTGAGAAGAAAATCTATTCAATCGTTTTTGCTGAGAATGTTATTATGAAAACAACTATTCCATTAAATGGAATTTGTGTTAAATGTAAGAATAAAGTGAGAAACAAGTAAATAAAACACATGCATATAAGATAGACGTGCTGCTTAACTATATTCACAAACATTTCAGGTCAAGGCTCTCAAGCTTGATGTTGACGAGAGTCTCACACCAGCCTCATCACATCACCTAGCAAAAGCACTGTGTTCAATGCCACACCTGACTGACCTGACACTTGAAAGGAATCTCAATGATGAGTTCTACTCTACATTGAAAGCAAAGGCATCATCCATACAGGTAACTGCATCCTGATGTAAATTTAATGGAGAGGGTCATTGATAGAAAGAAAGAGCAGTAATGATTATATTGTGCACATATAATTTTTTTTTTTTTTTTTGTGGGGGGGGGGGGGGGGGGTAGTTAAATGCCATTCACTCAATGCATTGGAATAGTCATGAAATATGGAATGAAAGCAAACTGTTTTAGATTTTATTCAAATGTTATATTTTTTAAATGATGTCATCCTTAACTGAATAGACGCTTTCTCTCTGTCTCATTATCATCTCTCCCCTTTGTGCTCTTTCTCATTCTCACATCTTCACTTTTTTTGTAGTGTTGCAGTCTCTTATAGTCTAAAAAGGTATTTTTAGGTTGTTTAAATCATATTAATCCGATGATTCCGATCACTTTGGACCTTCGTCTGCATGTATGACGGTGTAAGGCTGTATCCACGCACATCATGCATGACAAACTTGACTCCCAACTGAAGCTTGGCCATGATACATGGATATTTTAGAACGATCAAAAGGCACATGAATGTTGTTTCAAGAGCTTCAATTTATCTTCCTTTATCATAATATCTTGGGGAAGCCATTATTTTGTGGATATTATGACAATTCATGCCTTTTCTCCCTTCTAAATATTTATATATACAGTGTAAGTTTTTATTTCTTTTGCAATTTAATGTAATATTGTGTTTACCATGATAAGGGCCTCATTTACCGAGCACAAGTTGCTTCTTAGAGGTCCTAGCCTGTTATGTATTTTGTATTTATGATTTGTATTTTTCTTTTCATGCCAAATAGATTGAATTGAAAACTATGGAAAATGTGGAGATTCATCTGAAATTGAAGTGTGTACAAGCTTTACAAATTGCACCATAGCAACAAACTTCCTGACTTGGGATTCTCGTGCACATGTTATCCAAAGATATAAATACTTTTAATACATTAATAGCAAATGCATATTTCTGGGTATTATTAATTTCAGTGTTAGTAGGAGTAGGAATTATTAATGCAAACAGGTTGGAAGCCCTATAAAGAAAACATATAGAATTTCTTTTTAATCGCTCTTACTAAATCATCTTCTCCATAGAATCTTTAGTGTGTTTTTTTTTCTCCAAAAGACAAGAATTGGATTTGAGAAAAAAACTTCTTTCATCATTTTTGCTGAGAATTTTATTATGAATAAAACTATGTAATTGATGGAATTTGTGTCAAATGTAAGAATACAGTGAGAATATAAAATAAAACATATGCATATAAAGATGAGCTGCTCAACTATATTCACAAACAATGCAGGTCCAGACTCTCAAGCTTGATGTTGTCAAGAGTCTCACACCAGCCTCATCACATCACCTAGTAGAAGCACTCTGTTCTATGCCAAACCTGAATGACCTGACACTGAATGGAAGGTTTCTCAATGAGGAGTTCTACTCTTCATTGAAAGCAATGGCATCATCCATACAGGTATGTGTATACTAATGTAAATGTCATGGAGGGTTATTGATGGACAGAAAGAACGGTAAAGATTATATGGGGCACATGTTTTTGTCCCCTCACCAACGAAGTCGGAGGGGATATAGTACAGTAACGCTGCAGTCCGTCCTTCCGTCCGTAACAAATCTGGTTTCCGTTCGATAACTTTAGTAATGTTTGACGGATTTTAATGTAATTTGAAATGAATGTACATGGTATCAAAGTATAGCCAAAGTTCGATTTCAAAGTATGTAGGTCAAAGGTCATAGCTCATTAATTATGCAAAATTACCTTGTTATTTATGAGAAAATGTGGTTTTCATTAAATAACGTAAGTAATGTTGTTGAGTATATACGACAAAGGTCACAGCTCATTGATTATGCAAAAATGTGGTTTCCGTTTGAAAATTTAAATGGCCACTCTAACCAAAACGGGCTAAAATATGAAAAAAAAAGACATGTAGAATAATTTTTAACGGAGATTCCGAACATGACAAAGATTTTTCTTAGAAATCATCAATAATTCTGGAATCTAGCTTTTAAATATGACAACTCAGAACGTTCAGGAAAAAAGGCCCAGTTTCGGAGCTGTATTGCACAATAGCATATGATGTCACTGCAGGAGACTTTGCGGTGAAAAGGAGGGTGATTTAGGCATTCAAATGTCTTGAAAATAGCAAACTATGATATTAATTGGAAAAAAAGACATTTATCCGAAAAATAATATGCACTTGACAATCCCAGTACATTTCTGGCAATTTCGTCATTCCTAATTATGAATTACAATGAGGTTGTAAAATCCTTAGTTGTAGGACAAATCGGACATTCCCGTAATGACGTCAAATGCGTCATCAAGCCATGTGACCATATTCCCTTTTTTTGATGGGGCGCAGCCCAGCAAGTGTGAGATCTGTGAAAAATGGATGGTTATGATTTTTTGGTCAATTTAGAGATTTTCTGAAAAATCATAGGCTGGAATATTAATAAGTAGAGGTGTATTATATTTGTATAAAGAGTAGGACTTATCAATGCAAAGAGGTTAGAAGCCCTATAAAGAAAACATATATAATTTTAAACAAAACACTTTTAATTAATCTTTCTCTCAGTAGAAACTTTAGTGTGTTCTTTTTTTCAATGGACAAGAAATGAATTTGAAATTAATATCTATTCATTCATTTTTGATGAGAATGTTATTATGAATACAACTATGTAATCAATGGATTTTGTGTGAAATGGAAGAATACAGTGAGAAATAAGTAAATATAACATATGCATATGTGGATGAGCTGCTTAACTACCATATTTACAAACAATGCAGGTCCGGATTCTCAAGCTTGATGTTTTCAAGGTTCCCACACCAGCCTCATCGCATCACCTAGCAGAAGCACTTTGTTCTATGCCAAATCTGAATGACCTGACACTTGGAAGGTATCTCAATGATGAGTTCTACTCTTCATTTAAAGCAATGGCATCATCCATACAGGTATTGTATACTAATGTAAATGTCAGTGAGGTTCATTGATTGACAGGTATATTGGAACAGTCATGAAACATGGAATGAAAGCAATCTACACATGTATACTGATTCAGTTGAAATTCAAGTGTGTATAAGATTTTCATTGTTTTGATCAATAATCAATATCCAACCTTTTCCAAGTTTGGTTGATAGGAAAAATATGTCATATAAGTGTTTTAACCCTATCTAGCCTCTAAATTGTTTGCGATAATTTTTTAACGCAAAAGAATCTTGCGCTGAAATTTATTTTTTTGGGTCTTGCGCATCTTGTGAAATAATTTTTTTGAAAATCGGACCTAGCGTTACATAGTCACGTGACCTTTTGTCTTTGAATGTCGAAAATCGCTCATTTTCGTGATTTGCGTACAAAACATGGAAATATCATTTTTCCAAAAAAGAGATAAAACATTTACTTGGTCAAATAGTTGAATGATAGTTAGAAATGAAAAAAAACAAAAAACAGTAAAATACATCAGTTAAAAAACAGAGATATACATAAGAAATTATCATAAGAATAGATAACATAAGGAATAACCTGGCTCTTCAAAATTTTGTTGTTGTATTATTATTCCAAATGGTCTAAAGAGTATTGCAGTGAAAAGGAATATTTAAAAATGAAGAATATATGATTTTGGGGTAAAAATGTGATTTAATGACGTTAATTGCATAAATAATCATTAATATGCAAATGGGTGAATTTTTCAAAAAATTGGAATTACTATTACATTGTATACACTTCACTTGACATACATGCACATTTTCGCAGCGATCGGCCGTTTCACGGCCTAGATCATAGAGGGTGGGGGCTTTAGAAGCCCTCCTCCCCAGGCTATGCAAGTTTTAAAAAAGCCCAGACTAGCGGAATGTTGAGACCGTATCCGGACACCTACCCCCTGGACATCCACCCCCTGGACATCCACCCCCTGGACATCCACCCCCAGTCAACTACCCACTAGGGCAGGCCTTCTCAACTAGTTTATTAGAAGCGCCAAAACAAAAATGAATTGAGGTTGAAGTGCCAACCTGTATGTTTGGTGACTGTGTTACGAGGGAGCGTAGCGACCGAGCCGATACCGGGTGGCGTCCAGGGGGCGAAGTCCCCGAAAGCTAGTGGATTTTGGGGCTTTTTTAAGGCCCAGATGTGTCATTTTTAACACCTTTTTGTTCCATAAAACATATAAAACATCAATCATAATTTCATATTGATGTGAAATAGTTAGTACAATTCCTGGCTAAAATCTACACTGGAAGTTAATTTATATGTAGTTATTTTGGTGCAATAAACACGGAAAATGTCAAAATAAGGTGAAAATCAAACAAACAAAATGACTTCCTTACATTTTGGGCTCAACTTCGACTGCGACTTTTTGATTTTTCTGAGTTTTTTTTATGTTAAGATATCATTTTTTAATGTTGTTCTTTCTTTAATTTTTAATTTTTAATTTTTATTAATTTTTTTGGAACAGCCGCGCGCCACTCTGACTACCCGCAAGCGCCACGAGTGGCGCGCGCGCCGCCAGTTGAGAAGGCCTGCACTAGGGCAACCACCCTCCAGAACATCTACCCCCCACCCCAGGACAACTACCCCCCAGACAACTACCCCCTAGGAAAACTACCCCCCGGATAACTTCCCCCCGGACAACTACCCCCTAGGAAAACTACCCCCTAGGACAACTACCCCCGGACAACTACCCCCCAGATAACTACCCCTACGTCAACCATCCTCTAGGACAACTACCTCCCAGACAACTATCCTAGGGGGTAGTTGTCAGGGGGGTTGTTGTCCTAGGGGGTACTTGGTTGAGAACCGGTTAAGACAATTGTAACTTTGGCTTTAGACCCATTATTGTTTTTTTTCTCTAAACCGGATACATGGATATTCATAGAAGCTATTGTTGCCCGCAAATTCTGCCCAGCAACAAGGGTCTGTTTGCTCGCATCCGTGAGACCGATTACAGCTATCGCGATACCTTGCCTTCATATCCCATGTACCAAAGTCTCTGTATTGCAGTTAGATTGTGTTGACACCCAACGATCCATTGTTTTCCTATATTACTTCTATTTCTTGGTATTTCTGTTTGCTGTTCCTATTTTTTTCGGAAACTTTGTGATTTTGTTTCATCCTGGTGGACATATATTGCGTTTTATATTTGTTTCCGGTAAATTATGGTAAGGTTTGTTTCAAGTGAGTCAGTTTTATTGCACACGCTATTCTCTGTGTATGTAGTGAATGGGCTGTGACTGTGAATGTGGTGACTGTGGCTGTGGATGTGACGACTGTGACTGTGAATGGACTGTGTATGTATGTTGTGAATGGGCTGCAGCGATTTTGGAGTTTGGGAGCCTTGCTTTCTCTACACTTCTCCTTGCTGGGTCCCTGTCATTTGAGGCTTGGAACATTTTAGTGTCTGTTTTTGTGAAATTTCTAGTCCTTGAATATTGTATTTTTATGGGAATTTGGTGTGAATTTGCGCATTTTGTCAAGTTTTGTTTGATCCATGTCTGGGACTTCGCAGGTGTTTCTTTACCCTTTTTTCATTCTCTTTCTTTCTTTCTGACATAATATCTGCCTTCTTGCATTGCCTGATGATGAAAATTTTATCAAAAAAAAAATGAATTGCTATGTAGAGAAATAACATAAATACATCTACTAACCGTACAATGAATACGAATTACTAATATTTTTTTTTTACCTCGTTAGTCAGGAATGGGAATACTTTCCCCGAAAAAAAGTAATTGAAAGGTCCTGTGAAATAATGTATCAAAAGTTTCATCAAAGAACATATATCACATTAATATAATTTCTTTATACATTAACTAAAAAAATATCCAAAAAAGGGAGAAAATCAAATCCAGTAATCAAGCAAAATAAAGACAAGTTGACCTTTCCCATCGCCTATACTTTCTAAATTCTAGGAATGGAATGATGCAAAATTCCATCATGAAACAGAAAGTTACATTGATGAAATTCCCTTATACTTCTCCCATAACAAATACAATTTATAAAAGAGGACATTCCAGTATTCACCCCAAATAAAGTCAAGATTCCCCCTTATCTCACCTTCTTTGTAATTCCTAGGTTGAAATATTATGCATCATTTTAGTAATTGCCAGTAATTATAAGCTTATCAAAATATGTTATATGTATTTATTTCTGTAAATTCTGGAATAAAGATACACACTTTGGGATTCAAATATGTTCAACAATATCACGGGAAACTCCACTTGAGGTCATTCAACCAGCTTGTAAATTCCAACATTCTTATTTGTTTAACGTAAACTCAGGGGGAGGGAAGCCTAGCAAATTGGTGAATGAACTGACCTTCATTCCTTCCTCTGTCCGATTTGATGTAAATCACAGACATTTAGCAAAAAAAATTGTTCCTCATAAATGCATTTCCCCGCCAGTGAATGTTGTATTCAGTAGGAGTTGGACTTATCACTGCAAACAAATTTTATTTAAAGAATAACTATCACTAAATCCTCCTCTCCGTAGGAACCTTACTGTGTTCTTATTTCAATAGGCAAGAAATGAATTTGAGAATGTTATTATGAATGCAAATATGTACTTGAAGGGACTTCGTAACATTGTAAAGATTAGAGAAAATGGTGCTAAGGTAGGGATTTCAATGCTAGATGTACAATTAAAGATAATCTGAAAGTTTGAGTAAAATCAGACCATTATTATCAATAAGAATTGGGAAAAACTGATCTGATCGATACCTTAATTCTCCCAACTATATTATTACAATTTAATTTCATTTTAAGGTGAATGTAAATCGTCACAAAGCAATGAATTGGCTCTATATACCATTCCAGACATTTGAGAGTTGAAAGATTTTTAAAGCCTTTTTTTGGTCTTATTTTCATGGAAAAACGGTTGGGAAAATTCAAAAGTGGTTGGAGAATTTACTGTTAATCACTGTTAAAGGGTGTTGCACAGTGACACCTTCTTAGAAAACCATTAATATTTTTGTGGTTTGAGAATTTCTTTCAGGATTTGTTTGCATGTTAGTACAGTAGAAGGAAGATAATAAGTAACATTTCATACAAAAATTACAAAATTTGTAATCAACCTTCAACAATGTTACCGAGTCAATTTAATGGAGTTTGTGTGAAATGTAAGAATACAGTGAGGAATTATAAATAAAAAAATATTCATGTATAGATGTGCTGCTTAACTATATTAACAAATAATGCAGGTCCAGACTCTTGTGCTTGATGATGTTCGGGGTCTCACATCAGCCTCTTCACATCACCTAGCAGAATCACTGTGTTCTATGCCCAACCTGACTGACCTGACAGTTGGGATGCTTTTCAATGGGAAGTTCTGCTCTACATTGAAAGCAAAGGCATCTTCCATACAGGTTTGTGCGTACTAATGTAAATTTCATGGAGAGGGTCGTTCAAAGAAAGAAAGAAAGGGCAGTAATAATAAATGGTGCACATGTATATACGTTATTTTTTGTTTGTGAAAATGATACAACAGAAAACATCTGATAGATCTACTACTGTTGTGAGATCTAAATGTTCCATTAATATGCGTGAATTTCATTGTAGTGGCCAAATACCTTTGAATATATCCCATATGAAGTTATTTTCATCCATGTTTGGCAATGTTCAGTACTTTTCTATTAGTCTAAATACGTCATGTTTCTTTTAAAATCTGATATATGTACTTAGTAATGACAACAAGTATCAACACTCATCGTTGTTGCAAGGCAAGTATGACTAGTCACAGAAGGTATATGCATAGTATGTTAGCTGTATTACATGCTGAAACAAACCTAAACAAAAACATTTAATAATACCAAGATATCAGTAAAAACATGAGAGCATAATGAGAAAGACAACAACTACTCA